TGTCTGGTTTCCTGCTGTAGACATGATTCCTGACACATCTTAAGTCAAGGCCTTCTTAGTGAACAGTGCTGAGCTCTCTTTTCACTTACTCATCCAGACCATTCTGTCTTTCTCTTCAACGCACATTCAGTCTTCAGATGTTGGAATCAAGTTTTCGTTGCCAGAACTGAATGCTCTGGTGCTGAGGATCACAGAATGTTCCAAGTACTGAGATGTTCTTGGTTATGCAAACGGTGAATTATTGTAATGACTTGTGGAGTGGTGATTCCCTCAAAAGAGGAAGGATATGGCTGGTTTTTGGTTAATGGGACCTGGCGAAAGAAAGCAAATATGTTAGTCCAGAATGATGATACAAGTAATGTGGAAGTTGAGCTATGAGTTTTAGATCAGCGTTTCACAGCAATATAGACAGTCTTTCCCTGTATGTTTCTTCAGACTCAGTGTAACCTGAAATCCTTATAAACATGAATAGAACTTTCTAAAAAAGATGACGCTGAGATCTTAAGTCAGACCTACACCCAAGTAACAGAACATCACATAAGTAATGCAAACCTGTTCTTTCATGAAAGAGATTCAGAATATGGGTCTGGAATGGGTTGATATATACTCTGAGGACTGGCATGAGAGAAGCTGAACTTCTCCAAGAACCGAATTGCCCAGGCAGGCCTCCTGCAACCATCATGGAGCAACACCTCTCACAATCATTAAGTGCTGTGGCTTCACCACAACTGACAAAGAACTGAGATTTACTCAGTTTTCTCTTGCTTCACAAGCAAGAGCACCATATTTTCTATTACAAAATTACAAATAATCTGGTACAGATGAAACACTAATGCTTATGCATCCAGCAGATGTAATTCTAACAGAAGATACCTGAAGCTTTTTTGTTTTTGTTTTTTGCCAACATCCACCCTTGGTAAGTAAAATTTACTTTAAGAGAAGCCTTTTCTTTTGAGCTGCATTGTTGCAATAAGGTTGGAGCTCCTAAAAAAAAATCTCCTATTTCACACTAGATTATTCCTCCCTTGCTTTTTTTTTCTTTTTTTCTTTATGTCCAGGAAGGTTTTCAACCTCTCTTTCTCTGCTCATTTTTGTTGTACTGAGTAAAATTTTAACGTATAAGAATTTTTGAATATAAGGATGGCCACAGGCTATTTGGTCTTTTGACAGACCAAAGTCTACCAAAGTCATCTCTCTGACAATGGCTAGTACCAATGTTGAGGAAGAGTATAATTACAACATAAGCTTGTAGCTGAAACCCCCCCTGAAAGCTGTGTCTGTATCCAGAGGTTTATGGTATCTTTGTATTAACTACCCCCGGAAGGATAAATTCTTCCAGGAATTTATCCAATCTTTTTTTCTTCCTATCCATTTGTCCATTTTTGAGAACGTTTTAGGATTCACAATATTCTGTGATGGGGAGTTTGAAGGCTCAGCTATTTACTGTGTGAACTGTGTCCTTTTGTTTGTTTTAAAACTAGTTCCTCCTAATTTCATTTGATGTGTTGTCCTTATCTTTAAGAGACAGGGAATAATCATCCGTTTTCTTCAAGCAACTGTGCATTTTATGAACCATGTTGTTACTCTTTGTCCATTCAGTTGTTTCATATCTGGAAGTCAGTCCATACTTGTGATCATCCCTGATATTTCCCTGTTGAAATATCACCATTTTTTCTTACTTGCTCCCTTTTTGCATCTATCTATACTGAATTCCTTCTCCCATTTTTCTACCTAGTCACAAGACTCTTTGCAAGTCTGCCAAGTCATTCCTCGTCTTTACTGCCCCAAAGAGCTTTGCCTCATCAGCAGATATCATCACCTCAACATTCATATATTTTCCAGATCACTTAATACATGGGATAGTCTGAGCCTTCTTTACTTACCTTATTCAAGAGTGTCTGGCACAGGGCCTTGTCAAAAGTAAATTACATCAGTTGGACTTGACTCAATCCATATACTCATCAGCTTTTCCTAATAACTTCAACAGACTTGTAAGGCATAACTTACCTTTACAAGAGCCATTTTGACTGTTCCTCAAGACATCTTATTTACTACGTGTACAATGTATACTACTCTTTATTATAGTTTCTACAAACTGGCCAGATAGAGACATAAAGCTTATTAAAAAGTAGTGCCCGGATCTCTTGGGAATCTTTTTTATAAACTGACTGTCCTGCAGTTGCCAAGTACAAAGGGGGTTTTAAGCAGAGGTTGAACACTCCAGTTGATACCTTTTTTCTTTCAATCTTGAGTTCCATCAGTTCTCTTCATCAGAGCACCATCTCATAGAGATTTGTTACTGCTCATTTTGCACAGAAATAAGGGTTGCAGTTACCTGCTTTTACTCAGTGAAAGAAAAATCCTAGAGACAATTATTTTCCTGTAGAAAATCAGAAGAAGAAAATTAGTTTTCTTAAACTAGACACATTTAAGACAAATAACATTCAGTCTCATGCAGTCATTAAGCTTAATAAAGTCAAATGCAAGATCATAGATTCAACTG